CACACACACACACACACACACACACACACACCTGTCTGTCTGTCTGTCTGTCTGTCTGTCTGTCTGTCTGTCTGTCTGTCTGTCTGTCTGTCTATTTTCAGGGTTTCACTCCCTGCAGTGGATGTACGGCTGTGAGCTGACGGAGGGCAGGAGCAAAATAGGGCACATGCAGTATGGCTACGACGGGAGGGACTACCTCGCCCTCGACAAGGAGACCCTCACCTGGACGGCGGCCAATTCCAAGGCCCAGATCACCAAAGAGAAGCAGGAGAAGGAACCAGCCCTTGCCCAGAGATACAAGGCCTACCTGGAGGAGATTTGCATTGAGTGGTTGCAGAGATACCTGGACTATGGGAAGGAGACTCTGCTCAGGAGAGGTGAGGGAACCGGGGGGGAGGGAAATTTTGGGGTGGGTGAGAGAATGCAGGTCCTTGTGAGAGACAGATGTCCTTCCCTTTGACAGATGGGTGGAGACCCCCCCAATTAGTTCCTGGGGAGAACTTCCAGGCGGCCAGAAAAGGCTGTGGGAGCCTGGAACCAAAGCGCCTTCAAACGGGTGTGTGTCTGTGTCTCTGTTTATGTGAGATACAATTTTGGCTACATTCCCATAGTTCTGACCTGAAAATCTACAGAAGTAAAATCAAACAGATTTTGCTTGATAGTGGTGTGTGTGTCCCTTCTTAGCCCTCGGTGTGTGTTTGGCCCCTCCCCTAAGGACCTCATGATCTGCCCGCCCTAACAGCTACCTCAGTTCTCCAAATTTCTTCCCCTGCTGCAGCAGGTCTCCTGGCTAGAGCTCGGTGACGGAAATTGAACCTTCAGCATGATTTACCTACCCTTTTCAACTAATCGTTTGTATTTTCCTTATTTATCCTTTTAAAAAAGTATTATTTCTTTGGACTGTTCCCCCCCCTCCCCTTTCCCCTCTCCCAGTTTTCCTGCCTTTTTTGCCTGGCACCCAAAGTGACTTAAAAGTTGTGCCTCCTGTGGGAAGAAGATCCCCTCAACTGATGGACATTGTTTTTGTCTCTTTTGTTTGGGAGAGTCCTATATTCCTCAATCTTGTCACTGTAAGAAGTTCACGAAGCAGGGACTTAGGCTTCGCGAGCTCCAACTCCATGCAGCTCTGTGGGAGAGATCCCTACAACCACCTGGGATGGAGACCAGATCTCCTTCCGCTGCCTCTGAGCTGCCCTTACCAGCGTTAAAATCAAAACCTTCTAAATTGACCAAATCTAAATCTTCCCAACCGTCAAAGCCTTCGACGAAAGCTTCATCAAAAACTAAGTTGCCGGCCTCTCCGCTCCCTTCTAAATCGTCTAAGTCTCCTCAGCCCGCTGCGAACCTTTCGCCGCCTGCACGCTCTGACCGCCACTCTCTGTCCCTTCCAATCTTAACGCCGCAATCCGCCATTGAGATTTCTTTTCGAGGCTCCTCGGCTCCTGCTTCCCCCAGGTTGCCCTCTCCTTCACCTCCAGCAGTACCTTCCCCCTGCCCTTTCCTAAGAAGAAGAAAGCCAAGACTAAACACACTGAGCCAGCACTGGGAGATTCCCGGGCTTCGAGACACTCGAGACCGAAGGTCTCTGCTTTAGGGGCTCGACATTCTCGCCCCAAGGGCAGTAAAAGCCATACGTCGAAAGAAGATTGGCTGCCTGTTAAAATTTCCAGGAAATATCTTAAGCTCTGGCAGCAGCAAATGGAGAAGCTTTACGATCCTTGTCTTCTCTATAGCCTAGCAGCCCCGATTTCGTCATTCTCGGGCTCCTCCTCATCTACACCTAGCTCCTTGGACGAGAGCTTGTATCCATCCAGTCATGAAATCAGCGGTACCAAACTTAATGGCACCGATCGAAACCTAGGTCGGTACTGACAGCCAAGAAAGCCAAGCACGCCGTGGTACCGGACGTGTCGGCTCCCCTTCATCATGCAGCTCGTCCACCCAAAGATAGTCGAATGCCTGTGGGGACCCTTGGTACCATAACTCTCGGTACTGAGCCTCTCGGTACCGAGCCATCCAAGCGGCGGCGTGATCACTCCAAAGACCCAAACAACAAGTCTCCAAAAAGTTTTGAATGCGTTCGCCTTCAGATTCTGTTTCATCCTTCCAATTAGACTCCTGGAGGGTCACTGTACCGACACTCACCACGATACCGGACGCGGCACCCATCGCAGTACCGATCACGGTACCAACCACAGTACTGAACGCAACATCATGCACAAGGACTGAAGACCGTCCAAACCTTTACGTCCCTTACCCGACCCTTCTGTTTCTGATCACTCCGAATTCCAAGGCAATCCGGAAGTAGCTGAAAGTTTTTCTGACGGCTCTGTTCCTAACTACAATACACCTGAGTCTATAATTTTGACAAGAATCCCGCCTCTCCAGCTGCTGACTTTCCATCCTACTCTCAATGATTCATCGCATTGCAACAGCCCTAGATCTCCCTGTGGAGAAACCTCCAGATATTGCGACAGACAAGGTCTATGCCGACATCGACGAAGACCAAAACCCTCCGTTGTGATTGGCTTTTATTCCATCCTTATTACGCACACTCAAACAGCCATGGGACAAGCCCCGTTCTGCCTTACAAATGTCTAGGAGGGTGGAAAACCTTTACCAAATTCAGGGTTCAGATCTGGACTTTCTTGTTAAACACCCAGCTCCCAACTCTTTAATTGTGGACCTGACTCAATCTAAGTTGAGACCTAGTTCTACCGCTACCCCAAATAACAAAGAGGGTAGAAAAATGGGCATTCGGTCGGTGCGCATATTCATTTGTGTCCTTCACTATTAGAGCCGCCAACTATATTGCTGCAGTGGGCGCCTACCATCAACATCTATGGAATAGAGCCCTTCCATCTCTACAGGCAGCACCTGATGAGCTCCAACCACGGGGCATGTCCATTCACCAAGAGGTTATGGCCCTGATCAGGCAGGAGAGGATTACTGCTAGACATATTTTAGATGCAGCATCACGCAGCCTGATGACTGGTGTCGCCATTCGTCAACATGCTTGGCTTAGATCTGCTAATATTACCAACACCTCTAAGGCACACATTCTTGACCTACCGTTTGATGGTTCTGGACTTTTTGATCCCAAAACAGATGACATATTGAAGGGCCTCCACGAGGCAAAGAAAATGGCGCGCTCATATTCAGCACAATCTTACTATAAGCAATGTTATCCTTAGAAGCACCAATCAACCTTTCAGGCATTCTAGTCCAACAAACCATACCAGAGTAAACAACGGTACTATACAGCTCCTTGAAACTTTCCGGCCCGCCAACAGGAACAGCACCACCGTTGTCAACAATCCTACAGGAAATCCGACTGCACATCCAAACAGGGCCTTTGACTCTCCTCCTATCACTATCTCTGGCCCCTTTACCTCTCATGCCACCCGATTATCGCCCTTTCTTGCAAATTGGTCTCTCATTACCTCAGATAAGTGGGTTCTTTCCATCATCGCCCACGGCTACGGGATAGAGTTCCTGGAGCTTCTTTCCTGGCACGCATGGTTATTACCCCTCCATCCGTGCCCCTAAAAGAGGAAATAGAGACCCTTCTGCAAAAATCAGCCATAATGCACATTTACCCGGACCCATTGAATCCTGGCTTCTTCTCTAGATACTTCTTGGTCCCCCAAAAGGACGACACTTTCCGCCCCATTTTGGATCTCAGAGACTTAAATATGTTCATCACTTACCGTCGTTTCAGTATGATCACTCTAGAAAGAATCTTACCTCTTCTTCAACAGGGGGACTGGTTCGTCGTGATCGATCTCAGCGATGCATATTTCCACATAACCATAAGACAAGATCATCAAAGATACCTGTGTTTTTCCCTTGGGTCCAAATGCTTCGAATTCTCTGCTTTACCAGTTGGACTTTCCACCGCACCAAGGGTCTTCACAAAGTGTATGGCACCCGTGGCGGCGTTCCTTCGCACAAAAGGCATCGCCGTCTATCTGTACATAGACAACTGGCTCCTAGTAGCTCCATCTCAGCATCAGGCAAGACATACCACCATCGTGCTCCATCTTCTTCGAGCCCTCAGCCTCCGAGTGAATTTTAAAAAAATTTATGCTGATTCTATGCCGGGTCGTGAGCTATATAGGAGCCGTCCTTAATGCTCGCAAAGCAAGAGCCTTTCCTGCCAAAGGACTGGGCAATCCAGATCACTACTCTCATCAAACACTTTCAACCACTCCAACTGGTCACCGCGCACTGTGCTCAGAAGCTGCTAGGTTTGATGGCATCCACTACATCCATCATTCCGCATGCCAGATTAAAGATGTGATCACTTCAGGCATGGCTCCTGTCTCTATTCACTCCTCTCAAGGATTCCCCCAGGAAAAGGTTTCAGGTGACCGCAGAACTAGCTCACAAACTAACATGGTGGACCAGCGCGTACAACCTTTTCATGGGTCGTCTGTTTGCCCCTCTGTTTCTCACAACTAGAATCACCACCAATGTGAGTCCCACGGGCTGGGGTGCTCATTGCGATGGTCAGCAAGTGCACGACCGCTGGTCACCATCAGAGCGGACCCTGCATATCAACAATCTGGAACTGCTGGCCATTTTCAAAGCCTGCCGTGCCTTTCTACCAGTCATCGAGGGCACAGCTGTGCAAATTGTGACGGACAACACCACTGCCACTTTTTACGTCAACAAGCAGGGCGGCACTCACTCCCCTGCCCTTCTCTACTTGACGGTTCAGTTTTGGGTTCAATTTCCATCAGCAGTTTACATCTCCACACATGGTGGTGCCTGGAGCATCACATTTTTCCATCAGCAGTTTACATCTCCACACACAAGAATGTCTTGGCAGACCGTCTCAGCAGGACGACGGTCACGATGCACGAGTGGGTTTTGGATCAGGAAGTGTTTCATCGCATCTGCGAGAAATGAGGTGCTCCTGTGTTGGATGCCTTTGCCACACATGCCAATGCAAAGTGTCCAACTTACCTTTCGAGAGGTTGTCAAGGGAGGCTCACAGGGCGATGTGCTCATGGTGTCTTGGAGCGGTCGTCTACTTTACATGTTTCCACCTTTTCCGCTATTGATGAGGTGTTCCTAAATAAAAAAGAAAATTTTGGATTAAAAAAAAAAAAAGATACACCACCACAATGCCAATGTCATCTTGATAGCTCCTTAATGGCCCCGTCAACCGTGGTTCACAATGTTGATGACGAGGACAACAGAGTACATGAAGCTTCCATCCCTTCCTCATCTACTGACGCAAAACAACGGGCTGATATACCACCCAGATGTAAACTCACTTCATCTGACGGTGTGGCGGATTCTCCCACGGTGAAACATGTCATGTCTCATTGTTGGAAGGAGTCCACAAAGACTCTATGCAAAAATAAATGGACTGCTTATAAGAAATTCGCTACCGCACGTAACCTACCGGTGTCTCCCACCTCAGTACATGCAGTTTTACAATTTCTAGCTTATCTCTTTGATATGAACTTGTCACACTCAACTCTCAAAGTATACTTGTTCGCCATTGTGGCGCATCAACCCCCTGAATCAGAAGGTGCTCTCTTTCAGCACAACAGGGTCAAGAGGTTCCTCCGGGGGGCATTACGTCTTCATCCTCCACGAATAAATCCTGTCCCTCAGTGGTCTTTACATATAGTACTCAATTGTCTCACGTGCCTTCCATTTGAACCCCTTGCAACCTGTTTCGGAGCATCTGCTCACACTCAAAGTGGTGTTCTTAGTGGCAATAACGTCAGCAAGGAGGGCTTCAGAACTCTCTGCTCTCCGAGTAGGTCCACCTTTTCTCCAATTCTTTCCGGACAAAGTTATATTATATCCGGACGTTTCTTTTCTGCCAAAGGTTACAACCAGTTTTCATGTTCGTCAACCTATCATCCTACCTACCTTCTTTCCTCAACCATCTTCTCCTGTTGAGAAGTCCCTTCTGCTGGATGTTCGCAGGGCATTATCATACTACGTTCAAAGGACTTCGTCGTTCAGAAGCACCAAACATTTGTTTGTCTCTCCTCACCAGCCTCATAAAGGACACCAGGTGTCACCGCAGACCATCTCCAGATGGATTGTCCAGACCATACATCTGAATTATGAGATAACACACAAGCCTCTCTGTGTTCTTTCAAAGCCCATTCTGCTAGAGCAGTAGCAGCGTCCACGGCATTTCTTCGAGGTGTCCCTCTTCAGGATGTCTCCGAGGCCTCTGCGCAAGCGCAGATTAACCCATTAGTGTGTATTCACAGAGACGACGAAGAAGAAAGAGAGGTTACTTACCTGTAACTTTGGTTCTTCCAGTGGTCCTCTGTGAATTCACACTAATGGGTTAAGTCTGTGCGTGCGCAGAGGCCTCAGAACATTCTAGAGCTTAAAGTAACCATTTTATCCCCTCCCCCCAAGCCCTCATGGTCTGCCCACCCTAACAGTTACCTCAGTTCTTATTTTTCCCCTGCTGAAAGAGGTCTCCTTCCTTAGAGCTCCTTCACATTCTGTAAATGCAAGTGCCCTTTTCTTTCTAAAAGTAAAAGAAGAAGGACTTTCGTTTGTTCCCCCCCTTCCCCCTCCCCCGGCTTTTATGGCACCTACTTTCTTTCAAATGTGTCCCTTTTGTTTAAGAAGATTCCTACCTCTGAGGGACACCTTTGTGCCTTTGTTGCTTGGGTGAAGCCCATCAGCTTACATCCTGCATTCTTTTTAAAAGTTTTACAAAGCAGGCTTTGAAACTGAGACAGCACTTTCAAGTCTCTTGGTGGGAGAAGTCATTACAACCCGCAATCATGGACCCTCCGTCCCTGACACAGCCTTCCACTGTTTCCCCTGCTAATACTTTGTCTTCCTTTCCACAGCCTAAGCTAATCCCTCTCTTCAAACTGTTAACAGAAAAAAGCATCAGACTGCTAAGATTTAATAACAAAAAATCGGCTTCCTCGCAACAGCATTGGTCCCCTCATGGGCATTGGAAGCCCCATCCCTGTTTGCAGGACCGACTGCTATGGCTGAGATTTCTGCAGATATTTAAGCGGCCCCCTCCTCAATGCCTTCTAGCCCTGGCTCGCCTCCAAAAAGATGATCGCCGTTGGGCTCTGAGCTTCAAGGTTCCCCAGATGTCAGCACCACCATGAGAAAGAAAAAGGCACTATTGACCTGCCTCATACTGAGGAGGTTGTTGTGTGACACTTATTTCCTTGCCTATTTATTTTCCTTGGGACCAACAGTCCATCGTTTCCTGCCCCCCTCCCCTTCTGCCTTCTTTCCAATGAGGTGGCTTTTGGGGAGGAGACGGGTGGGCATGCCTGATCCTCCCCCCGCCAGACAAAAAACCCTTCCCTGCCTTCCTGATAAGGGGACCCAAGGCAGCTCACAAAATTTAAAAAATTAACAACATTAAACATTAAAATGCAATTAAACTGTATACTAATTAAAACACGATGATATCAGGACCCCAGTATCCACTAAATCAATATCCGCTGATTCAGTTACTCATTGAAAATACTGTACTCTATTAAAAATATTAGGAAAGAAAAAAGCCTCATGTTTTATCAGTACTGGCCACTAGACAGAAAGAGACCCTGCTGTAAATTCTTGGTTCTTTCTGCATTTTTTCTTTTCTTTTCCCACACTGGTTCCCAAACTTTTGCATATCCCTTTCTTCCCCAATTACTGGGGGCTCAGCCCCTTTGCCCACTGCGGGAGATACTCTGGGGGGATGGCTGGGGCTGCCTCTCATGAGGAAGGCAACAACAGTGGGAGCATTCGCTATTATAAATATAACAAAAAACCACCCCACGTCTTTTGAAATTCTGGCTGGGTGTTGTAGGAACCTTTAGGGTATCTCTAGTCCACGTAAATCTGCTGGTGAGAGAGCTCATTTATTTAATTATGAGAGAGCAACTCAGAAGACTGTAAACGTTTCTCTTTCTTCTGGGACTTTCTGCTTCATTTACTACACCTATTGAATAATAAATGCCAGCGAAGGAACGGATGAGAGAGAGAGCGAGAGAGCGAAGAGCAGCCGGCGTAGAGAGCCTTCCTGGAAGGCATTGCAGCGAAGGAACTGATGAGAGAGAGAGAGCGAGAGAGCAAAGAGCAGCCAGCGTAGAGAGCCTTCCTAGAAGGCAAGAATGAAGATGATCCTAGTTTTTGCTGGCCCCTCGGCTACAAAAAGTATTTCTGCCTCTCGCACCCGGTCTCTGGGGCTGATGCCCTGGCCAGTTCCCAGAAGCGTGAATTTTTGGCTGCTGAGTCTTTTCAGATCATTTCAAGATACCAGTAAAAGCTCTGCTCATTCCCTTCCTTTTCTCTGTAAACGAAAATCAAGAGTCCTCCAGGGGTGGGATTTGTGGGGAAGAACAGACAAGTCCCACGGGATCGAAGCCAAGCCACGATCCTGCCACAGGAAGGGGCTCCGTCTTCATTCCAGCCCTGCTGTTTTTTGCAGATCCTCCCGTGGGGAAGGTGACGCACCAGGAGGGCTACGATGACAGGGAGACCCTCGTCTGCCAGGCTTACGGCTTCTACCCCAAGGAGATTGACGTCACTTGGAGGAAGGAGGGAGAGGTCTTGCAGGAAGGCACTTTCCACAGGAGCGTGGCCCCCTACCCGGACGGGACCTACCACGCCTGGCTCAGCATCGAGATCGACCCCAAGGAGAGAGACCAGTACCGGTGCCACGTGGACCATGCCAGCCTGGGGGAGCCTCTGATCTTGGCTTGGGAGGCGCCTGGTGAGTGGCAAAGCCGGGGGGAGCCTGTGGTCTTGGCGTGGGAGGTGCCTGGTGAGGGGCGGGAGGGGCGGAGGAGAGGCTGCCCTCTCGGTGGGGGCAGAAAGAGGTGTTTCGGGGAGGGGCCTATTCACTGAGGGGGGAGGGAGACTCAAGAGGCTTTCAGCAGCATATAGAAATTGATAACAATGAATAAAAAACGCCCCAAAACCACTGAAAACATGTGAGAAAAAGATGGAAAATTCCAACATCTCCCCCGTTAATTACGTGGGTGCTGCAAAACTGACAGGCAGTTATTGTGGGGGGGGCTTGTGGAGCCATCTATGCAATCTACAGTTGTAATCAAAATTATTGAATCCCCATTGCAAATCAGGTTTATTGTCAAAATTTACAGACGTTTGCTATGAAGGAATCAAACAAAAACAATTGAAATAGCTCAATACAACAAGTGTTTGAAGTGGTTCCCACAAATTCCACTAGAAATGCAACTTATAATGAATTCTGCAGTCTCAAAATTATTTGGCCCCTTCATGGCAAGCATTTTTTGTCCTTAGGAGAGCTCCCTTTGCTGTTCGGACCTGATGCAGACGAGATGCACAGCCAGGCACCAGCTTCTGGCTGCGTTCTGGAGGAATCTTAGCCCCTTCTTCATGATCAGTGGCCTTCCCGTTGAGGAACATTCTTGGGTTTGGGGGCTGCAACCGTCTTTTTCAAATCTTGCATCACTCTCACTCACTTTTAACCCTGTGGGCTCCCCAATTTCCTTTAGCCAGTTTTCATCTCCTCCTGAACAGGGCAGGAGGGTTCTGGGTTTGTGTTCAGTTATTTCGTTCTTTCTCCCTGTTCAGTTTCTGCTTCCAACTTGGGCCTCATTATTGGGTGCGTCATTGCGGCTCTTCTCCTGATCGTGACTTGGGTTGCTGGCGCCTGGGTCTACATCAGTAAGTGAAGGAGTGAATGCCTTGGTTGGGAGGTTTCTGTATGGTTGGAGGGATACGTTTTCCTGTGGAGTCTCCTTTCAGGGGGAAAGATTGAGAGGAGACCCATGGCCTGGGCTTCCCTGCTCTCGTCCTACAACTTCCGTCAGGGCTCATCACGAGCATCTCAGGTCTCTTCCTCTTTCCCAGGGAGCCCCACATGTCTCAAGCCAAAGTCAGCTTTGGGGGTTCTTCGTTGGAAATTTTGACAAATGACGAGGGACACCCCAGATCTCCCCTCCTCAAAGTATCATGGGAAGTGCCACCTCCTTTCTGTGCTGACCTAAGTTGCCCCTCAGGGATCTTCTGGGGTAGAGGGAGAGGAGTGGCCCTGTAGAGGTTCTTGAACTCCCATCAACCCTGTCTATTGTGAGCAAGTGCAAAGAGTCATGGGAGTTGTTGTTTAGCAACATCTGAGACAACCATGGTTCTAGAAGGAGGGGCCAGAGGCAGGAGAGTTTCCATGGGAGCCCATGAAGTCGTTTGTTGCTACCAGGAGACCTTCCTTCCCTGCCTCCAGGGGTGGGTTTGGATGACCTCTGGGAACAGCCTTCAGCTCTTAACTCTCTGATTCTGTCTCTGCAGAGAAACGTCAAGAAGGCTACAGAGCAGCAGCAAGTGAGTACAGCTTTCCTCTTTCTTTGTTTGTATTCCAAGCTTCAGGCTGCCTCTGAAGCTCTTGGATTACATCTCCCATCATCCGTAGCCATTGAGAGCAGTTGCAGAGAATTATGGGGAGGGCAGCAGTCTTGCTGATCAATAGCCTGTCCTTTGAGTGCAGTTGGTCTCTCAGTCGTTTCCCAAGGTCAGTTTTTCCTCCTGTGGTGTGTGAGGGAGGCTTCAGTTGCAATTTGCTTCACATCCTATGGTTAAAATGCTCTTTTAAAAAATGAAATAAAGGCCAGGGAGGGGCGTGGGAAGGAAAAGCACAATCCCGTCCTCTCATGTGAGATTAACACACAGCGAAGAAACCGCAGTCGAGGAACATGTGCTGGTCCTTTCATTGTCTGGGCTCCCTGGCAGCCAGAAGGGCAGCAGTCCAGTCGCCTCGCGGACTCGTATCACTCTCTGCCTGGTGCCACCTCTGGCCTGCCTTCCACGTCGCCCCTTTCTACACTTCCCGTCCCTTCCCCAAACTCACTTTTTCTTCATGCCTTTGGCACAAGTTCCTAGTACTGTGTCCGTGTCTTATAGCAAAGTTCTTCAGCATGGTACATTTCCAGGGTGCTGACTACCACTCCCATCATCCTTGGTCATATCACACATCAGTCTTCTTCTCCCGTGCAAGGTCTCCTGATGGTGCTATAAAAGTGAACAAATAAAATGTGGAAAACGGCATGTAAGGACTATTCCATTAAAGGTGTCGTAGCCCTAAAAAAAAACTCTCACTTGCAGTTAAGGCTGGAGAGGCCATTGCTGGAACCTTCCTGGGGGTTGGGAGGCCCCCAAACTAGAGGGTGAAAACTAGAGGAAGGCAAACCATCGTTCCCAA